ACCGGCCCTCGAGGCCTGGAGTTCGACACCTGTGGTGTAGATGATTGCAGATGGTGTTTTTATTGCAAGCTATGGGATTTTGATTAGCAGAAGATTTTGAAACTTGAAACAGAATGATAACGGTTTAAAAACACACAGGATATACATCAATAAACCTTACCTTGTTAAAGAGCCTGACAGGAGCAGCTACTGAACCTGTTTCTCTGAGGTAGTCAAACCATTTGAATGGGAGTTTAGTGTACCCTGAGAAACACAGTATGTGTCAAGACCAGAACATAAACAACCCCAAATTTTAAGGTTCCAAAGTGAAGAAAAACAAACAAACTGTTGAGTACCTCTAGGGGGTGTGAGTTCAATGTTATTGATTTCACAGAAGCCAACAGGGAAGATGGAAGGGGAGGTGCCATGGTAGCAGAACCAGTCTGATCCATCGACTGCCTCTGAGCCATCTACCCCAATCATGAGATATCCATCTGCCAACACCTATATAGCAGAGAGTTATGTCATGTCAACTTTAATGTACAACCTAAATTCCAAAAATGTATAAAATGTAGATGCTTTTCGGGAGGAGGTTTTCTGCACTTTGAACAAGGCTACCGGCCTGAAACTAGCTCTCAACCCCCTACTTGCTCTCTTTGGTACAGTGGGAGAGGATGATAAGCATATTCCCAGAGCAAAGCGCAGGGTGCTGTCCTTTGGTTCCCTCTTGGCAAGGCGTGCCATTTTGATTGGCGGAAGGTTGCTGCCCCGCCCTCCCATGTTCGGTGGCTTTCTTTTTTTTTTCCCCCTCTTTTTGTTTTCTTTCTGGTTTTTTTTTCCCCTCGTTGCTTGTTTGGTAAATAATCCATGTTCCAACATGAGAAGTTCTGTTTTGTATTCATTGTAAACAGTTTGTGTTTTCTGTCTTTTTTTCTTTGTAAACTATATCCACAAATACTCAATAAAAATATTTAGAAAAAAAATGTAGATGCAACTAGAAACAGAACACAATCAAATCTCATAAATCTATAATCTATTGACACCTGAGGACAAAAAAAACAAAACAGATTGAAGGTTTAAACTGAGAAAATATACCATTTAAAACATTTTTTTCATTTTACGGCAGGAACCCCCACTCCTCACCCCTCACCCCTAACAATTACACCCCAAAAACATTTGGCTGCTCCATTGTTCATAAGGGGGTGACTCTTCACATATTTGATTTGGCAGACTTTATATGCTGGCTGCCTCCTGACAATCTCCAAGAGATCATACCAGGATAAACCACTACACTATGGAGCTACAATTTGATGGCAGTAAAGCCCCTTTTCCATTAGCACCTACCCAGATCAACTGGCCACGGATCGCCACGACCCAACTCGGATGGTTTTCCATTACAAAACACTAGTACTAATGTACATGACTGTCGTCAATAGCAACACGTCCACGCGTCCTGCCACGTAATTAATAATGGACAAGAACACTACAACAAAGGTGGACTTCGAAGCTAGAATGCTAATGCTCGGTCTGTGGCACTGAGTTAGACTCTGGGAACACGGTGTTGTTTCTGTATCCATTTCTCTCGTTTACAGGTTTTTAAAAAAAAAATGAAGGTTTTGATTTAGTTAATAAGAGTGCTCTCATGACTCATCAAGTGATGCTACTGGCCAGGTATTCGGTGGCATGCAGTTTATATTTTTTAAATCTGCTTGGATTGCTTGGAACCCCTACCAAGCATACTGGTGGTATGTAACCACCACTTAATATAGTGGATGAGAAATAAATAAATATCAGTGGTATTGAAAGTAGGTGTACACAAAGTTACATCTGCAAGGTGGTTATGAGTAATTTTTTCTCTAATGATATTTTAACCTTAAGTAGTGATGACTTCTTGAATTTCTTTATAAATAAAGGAATCCTTGGCTTAACAGAGCTGACTTTTGGTCAGCCTGGCTACAGTGCTGAAGAGAAACCTATCATTCTTATTACCTTTAGTCAGTGATGAGTAGTAAGATGTTCTACCTTTACGGAGGGCTTTGTTATAGAGCAATAATCTACTTTTGCAGGCTAAATGATTTCCTCTGCAGCTTATAAGTTATCTGTTTTAAGGTGCACGTTTGAGAGTTCTAGTCAACTACTTTTGATTTCAGGTTGTATTTTTCAGAGGTGCTACAATATCTAGAATCATATACAGAAAGGAAGTACATTTAATAACAAGAGAATTTACTTCTGTGGAAATAAAGTTCAGGTAGCTGTATTGGCCATCGCATCGAAGATAACAGTGGTGCAATTATAGCCTTAGTTTTACAGCAATCACAAAGATATTCACTGTGTTGAAACATTGATTCTGTTCATCTGGACGTAGTATTTTCAGTGGAAGAAACATTTCATCACTCATCCACCAAGTGACTTCTTCTATCATTAATACGCAAATTGTCATGACCATTGATCAACATATATTCAAATTTCAATTTGTTTGACCACAAAACAGTTTTCCACCTTGTGTAAGTCTATTTCAAATGACTTTTGACCCAGTGAAGACGGTAGTATTTCTATATCATGTTGACATTTGGCTTTGCCGTTTCTTAATAGCCAACACAATGTTACTTAATAGCCTACCTGCATTTGTGTATAAATTAGTGAACCCCTTGAGAATTCTGAGAAACACTGGTTATACTGGAAATACTGGTTACACTGGTTATCATCTTAACCTGTTAAGATCAGGTTAGGGTTAGTGGCAAAATCTTCCTCCATCCGTTTCTTTTTAGTACCACTTCCTTTACCAGCCTTTTGTTGCCCCTGTCCCAAATTTGCCATGTTGCTGCCATGAAATTCAAAGTGAGCTAATATATTTCATCAAATAGTAAAATATTTAAGTTCAGACATCTGTTTTCTATGTTTTATTGTGAATAAAATAAGGGTTTAGGAGATTTGTAAATCATTGCATTCTGTTTTATTTACATTTTACACCATCCTGACTTTTGCAAAATCAAAACTGGCTTACCTTTCTTACAGTAGCTACACATATAGCTGAGAGATTGAGGGGGTCAATGGCTTCTAACTTCATCCCATCTTTGAACCAGTCCCCACTCTGGTCCACTTCCTTCGTCTGTAAAATAAAAGGCAGACAAGTGAAAAAAAACCTTTTTATAAAAAGAATGCAAACAGTTAGGGTCATCCCCTCAGTGAACTTGATTAGAGTGAGCGGGCCTGTTAGGTTGAAATTGTTAAATGTTGTCATTGTTTTACTTAAATTTGTAAGTTCTGTAAGTTTCTGTCCTCCTCCCCGGCCTACATCTATGTGGGGGATGCAATAGCTGTAGTGTTTAATTGTAGGGACATCCTATGTGAGAGTTCTGCTTTCTTATTTAGTGAGGATGTTTTACTTCCTGCCCTTTATTTACCTGTGCTTGTGTATGGTGAGACTGTTAAAACGGGGTTGAGCCATATACAGGGGGAGGGGAGATGACCCTTTGTGATCAGCAGGAAGTCACACAAACACATCCACATCCACACACAGTCACTCACGTTCACGTGCACACACACAACCGAGCACACCGGTTAAAGCTGTTCGTCTTGCTTTCTTCATGGGTTATGAGTCTCTGAACTACCTCCTGAGCTACGGGGGTGGCTGTAGCTCAGGAGGTAGAGGTAGAGCAGGTCACCTACTGATAGGAAGGTTGGTGATTCAATCTGTGGCTCCTCCAGTCTGCATGTCAAGTATCCTTGGTCAAGATACTAACCCCAAGTTGTTCGCCGATGCATCCATCGGAGTGTGAATGTGTGTGAATGTAGTTAGAAAGTACTACGTATAGAGACGGTGCTTGTGAGAATGGGTGTGATTGGGTGAATGTGGCATGTTGTATAGAGCGCTTTGAGTACTCCGGGAGAGTAGAAAAGCGCTATATAAGAATCAGTCCATTTACCATTTACCCAACAGGGCCCCAGAATCAACAGTTTGGAGTAGTTAATGGGACTAAGGCATCAAAGGCAACAGGCTGTCAAACATGCCCTACCTCCACCCTGATTGGAGGATAACTGCAC